GCGCTATCGCATTTGAGAAAAATTTTGATTAAAAGAGTAAGACAATCAACTTTAGATCAATTTCTTGTTCCTTACGGAAAGAGTTTGTTTGTTTGTTAAGTTATGGCAACGCAACACTTGGGCGATCTGCCTAGGGGAATGCCTTCTGGGAGGTGTTTTTAAGGGAAACTGGCCCCTATTTAGGCGTTATAGACGTGGAGAAAACCCGGAAAACTCCACATGGTCAGCCCGTCTGAGCGAGGTGCGAACCCACGAACGAACTCCCCGTGTTCAAGGTACGAAGACCACTTAGCCACTGGTGGATTTTTTTACCGAAAGAGACTTCGACTCGAAGAATCTTCCAATGAAGTGCTACCCGTTATTTTTTGGAGGGGATTCCCCTTCTAAGCATTAAGGTTCGTATATCTCCACTTTTCTGCCACCAACTACAACAAACGAAGGTATGTACAGTGCTAGTTTATTAAACAAAGTTTACATGTTTGTTGCTGTAATGATACATACTACGTTTTCTTACATTTTCATCAAAGAAAATTACTGTATATTACAAATAAAATCGCAAAAATTTCGGCGACTAGAACGGATTAATTGCATTTGCATTAATTTCTATGGGAAAAATTGCTTCGGTTAATGAACAATTCGGTTAACGAACGGAGTCGCGGAACAGATTAAGTTCGTTAACCGGGGTTCCACTGTACACAGAACTCGTCTAGGAAATAAGGCATCTGTGGAGGATGGATAGGGTGCTTATTGTACCTGTCGTTCTCTCCTGTACAGGTGTGATACCACACACACTATACAAAAGCCTGGGAACATTACAATTGAATAGAAATACATACATCACACTACAGAAGGCCACTATATTGAATTACATGCAATATTGTTAGGAAATTCCTGAATACAGACACTGACACACTTATTTAATTTTAGTTTTTGGTTGCTATGCCTTGACTCTGGTCCAGCATAGTACACAGCCACTGGTGTGAATCGAGTATAACCCACTAAACTCAACATAATAATAGAAAATGGCAAAAAGAAAATGAACTTTTAAGAGTAATTCAGCAAAACTTAGAAAATCAGTATCAGTGTTTCATCACTCATCAATTTTCAAAACTGGTATTTACCAGTATTTAAATGCTATACACTGAATAAACATCACTTCAAGAAGATATAATATTGGTCTGATGTACTTGATCTTAAAATTCTTTTAGTTTCTTCTTGTACTTTTCACTTACTGCTTGGTTTTTTTATTTGTGAGATTTAGAGTAAATGCCTCACAAGAAACAACTATCTGAGGTGGTCCTATCTCTGGATTAGAAACTGGATATTATAAATCTTGATTTTGATAGCTTCCTTCTTGAGAGCTTGTTTTTTCACAATGTATATTTCTACAAGGTTTTTCCTAATTTAATACAAATTTTGATGCATATTTTCTGTTCTACTAAATCTTCCATGACAGACTGCAAAAAAGTTGTGCTAATTGATTGAATGAAAATTCTGTGATTACTAGCACTTGAATGCATGAAACTGATATATCATATGTAAATTACAAAGAATCATATCTTTGATTTTTTCATTTTACTTGCTTGTTCCTAAAAATTTTTAAACACATCTTGTATACGTATTTCTAAGGAATAAATTTATGACTTTTTTTAATATATTTTCTTAAATTAAAAAAAAAATACAATACCTTCATAGCCACTGTCACAAACACAACCAGTTGATGTACAATCTCCATGACCTAAACAATGATGTGGACATGGAGAGCCAATATAAACATTTTTCAATGCAAATTTTGGTGCTGGTGGCCAATTGAGAAATTCAGATGCATCTTGAATCCAGCGAATAAGAACCTGACTGCATAAAGTTAAATATGTTTAAATTTTAAATATATATATATATACACGGCATATAAGAATTTACTTCTATGGTATGCCAATATCTTATAATAATAAAGAAATTTTTACTGTCTGTTGGCATTAAATGAGTTATTAATATGTAATTAAGAATAACAAGCACAAACACAAGCACTTTCAACAAATTCAAAATTGTCTTCTTCAGGAAACAAAGACGACAATTTTGAATTTGTCGAAAGTGTTAGTGCTTGTTATTCTTAATTATATATTAAAAACTCATTTAATGCTTTGTTCATTGCCTGAAGAAAACAATTTTGAATTAGCCAATAAAAATAAAAAGTTTAGCATAAAAATGAAAAGATAATATGGATTAAAATCAATGTGATTAGATCTGTCAGCATTTTTTTAAAGGATGGATCAGGGAACAATCATAATTTTTTCTATTGATTATTAAGATTGTATTGCACAGTTTCAGCTTGCATAGTCATTTTTATGGTTCCACACTAACTGTAAGTTAAAAAACAATTATGATACATGTAAATCTTATATGAAAAGTTTTATTAAAATTAGAGTTTTTAATTAATTATTTTTAAAAATAAATGGTTTAATAAGAAAGAACAAAACATAAAATAATTCAACAAAATTTTATTTCAATAATACAAATTTAAAATAAATTTTAACTAAAGTAAGATATGATACAAATAATATTATTAATTTAATTTTGTATAGCTGATATAAAATCAAAATTTATAGTTAATATCATTATTCAATAATTACAATTTATACCTTTGTGCAAAATCTCGTTTAACAGGTATTAAAACCCGAGTCCAATTACTATATAATCCTGAATAATAAATAGTAGCTTCATGAGCATCTTCTGTGCATCCTGAATCAGGATAACAATGATGAACTGCTAATTGCCAAGTTGCACCTGCATCTAATGAATATTCAAATGCAACAGCACTGTTCCAACTGAATTTCTCTGTACAGCCTACACTAATCTAAAAAATATAATTAATTTAATTATATAGTATAAATTATTGAAAACAAATAGATTAACTGAATAAATTTGCAAATATATCAGAAAGATATTTTTACGATTTCAAATAACTTTATTCTCAATACAAACAGTTTAATAATTTCTAATTGAGTTCAAAAGCTACATGTTCTGATTAAAAACAAAATTTTTATATTAAATTATTTTTGAATTTAGTATAACAAATCTATTATTTTATATAATTTCATTAAAAACACAATTACTATTAACACCAATCTTCGATATTGAAAGTTATATTACATTAGAAATTTGTGAGATTGGCTTGTCACAACATCAAGGAATTTGTGCAAATTAAAATTTAATAACTTGTATGAACACACAGTGTCAAGAATTAATTGAAATTAACTGTTAAAAGAAAAGAGCATTATATCATATCAGATGAGCCAATGAACAGTGAAAACATAATTAATAGAGTTTGATTATTGACTTATTTATGTCAAAATAGTAAATATATTCAAAGAAACAGACAAGAGAAAACATCCTTGAAAAGATGAGTCAATCCCCACATGATCGCCATAAACTTTTAATGACAGTTTGAGGATCTATCAAAATGAAAGATGAATTAAATGCCCATCAAAGAAGATTTGTAGAAGATATCTGAAAAGATGATTGAGAAACTTGAATAAAATGAAGAAACAAGATGAGAGAGTCATCTCTGAGTTTCCACAGATAAAACAGTCATGTTCCAAGCTTCCAGACAAGAAAGAGAATTGTCTCTATATTTGTTGATTCATAGGAATCAACCCAGAGAGTTTAAACTCAAATAATCAATTGAGATAGATTTTGGCCTCACTAATTAAACAGTTTTTTCATTACCTACTAAATCATTTCTCGACACAAGCAAAGAAGGACATTTTGAATAATTTAAGTAATTGGAGATAAACAAATAAAAGTTGCTCCGATTTCAAGGACTCAACAACCTTCTAATTCTGAAAAATCAATGTATATTATTGTGATATTGTCAAATATCAGACTGAAATTTTTAACCATCATTTAACTTACAAATCACTTGACTTCCAGTGCAGACCAGACGTTTGTATATAGTTAATCAGGGCCTCCAGCCCCTAAGCTTTTTGTATCTGATCTCAGTTTTTATCTATATAACTCTGTTCTCAAGATTAACTAAAAAAACTGATGAACAAATGGACAGATGACAGTGGAAATTTATAGGTCTGAAATCTACAAATTGCAGTCCAATGAATATATCAATACAACTAAAATCTTTTGAGACTACTCCAAAAAACTCAAGATTTTTATGCTTGAGTCATCTTGATCCAACTACTTCTGGATCTCTCTCTCTTTTTCTATCCCTGTGAACAAAATATGTAGCTGTCACATCTACTTGTACTGCACTTGGTTAAAAATTGCTTGGTTGAAACCAGCGAGAAAATTATACACAAAGTGCAAATGTTTTTGTCCGTGTTAAACGGGCATCATCAGGCAACAAACTACTGAGAAGACACAGAAGATTGCCAAATTTGTGTATAGGGGAAGGAGTGCATGATATAAGAAAAGAGCAGGGGAGTTTATATTTCATAGAAAGACTTCCAGGTAGTGGGGAAGGAGTCAATGTTGTGATAGTTTATGGCTGTGTTATGGCTGTGTTATGCCTCATAAATTTCCACTTGTTCTATACATCTTAGTACAGATTGTTTAGATTCATAATGTAGGAGGTGTGTCTCATGTGCTTAAACATCTAGAATAAGTGGAAATTTACAACACCAGCCTCCATAATGCAGCCATAAACTATTGCAACGTTGACTCCTTCCCCCTGCCTGGAAGTCTTTCTACAAAATATAAACCCCCTCCTCTCTTCTTACATCATACACCCCTTCCCCTACACATATGTTCGGTAATCCTGTGTTTTCTCAGCAATTTGTTTCCTGATGATGCCCATTTAACATGGACAAAAACATCTGCACTTTGTGTATAATTTTCTTGCTGGTTTGTTAGGTTTTTGCAGTGTTTTTTTGTGATAGTGTTAATTATTAAATAATTGAAAATACTTTAATTAAATTTAGAAAAATCTGAAGAAACAAAATTCTTGATTAAGTTAATATTTAATTGTCCTTTTTCAATTATTATTTATTATTATTATATTAGTGTATAATTTAATGGTATATCATAAAATAGACTTCTGTGTCTTCTGATGATGAGTTTCCCCAGAAGTATTTGAGAGAAACTGTTATTAAAGTGAACTGTAATAAAGCAGATTATTATTATTATTTTATTCTTTAAAGAACTTTGTGTTCTTTTGCATTAAACATCTATCATAAAAATTAAATTATTAAATTTAGTTTTTACAAAAATCAATTAACACCAATGGAATAATGAGATATACATTTTAGTCCAGTAATATTTAATCAATTAAAATAGATATATATTTTTATATTAAAAAAATTATTAAGCTTGTAATTTTTGTTCAAGTTTTCAATGATTTTTTCAATCATAATTATCCAAATTCCATAATATATGTAACAGAAAGAAGTTCAGGTAACAAAGGTTAAATATTTTATAAAATAATAGATATTTAGTTTATACAAAAAAGAATCAGATTAATCATTCTGTAATGAATTTTAGGAAATAAATATCTTCATAATTGTATACTCTTAAAAAGTCAGATTAAAAAAAAAAAACAAATATTTTAACCTGTTTGGTCCATCAACAAAATATCTTAAAATTAAAATAAAATATTAAAACAATTCAATTTACAGAATATAAAAATATAAATGACTAGTTAACATGAAAATATGAAAGATATATTTGTAAAATAGAATTAAAAACTAAAACAGAATGACTTCCTATTCAAAGTTCAGTTTAGTTCTTTTTGAAATTTAAAAATCTGTTTGTTTGCAGAACAGTATAATTTTTAATAAAAAACTATGCAGGATTATATATTAAAGATAAAACTATTTAACAAAAATAATATAACAGAAATTGACCATTGATCATTTACCATATCAATGTATCATATAATTATATAAATCTTTCTGTCATCTATGATAAAAGATGTCTAGTCTAAATGATAAATCATAAAAGATATAAAGTTCTAATTAAATTGAGAGAGAGAGAGAGATATGCAATCCAGGATACCAAATGACTTGTCATATTATTGGGCAATAATAAGACTAATTTAATAATATTAATTATATATAAAGTAATTTGACTAGAGGCAGATGATTCATTCAATTGCCATCTTGTGATAATTTTAATCATTTAAAATATTATGGAAGAAAAGAATTGACCCAAAGCAGGACTTGAACCTGCAACTCCCGCTTACTAAGCAGATTTTTTAACAGAACTGATTTTTGCAGATTACTGAACAGACTTCACTTCCAGAATTATTAATTTAGATGTAATTAAGCCATGAGCAATAAAGTTGTCTGCAATCAGCAATGTGACCAGTACAGTTATATTTTAATTAATAATTATGGAAGTGATGATTGGATGGAGGTCTGAATAGTGTAACTGGCAATATATCTGAATGGTAGACAGAAGTTGAGGATTCAAGTCCTGCTCTGAGCCAATGCTTTTCTTCCACAACATTTTAACTTGAAAATTAAAATTAACTTATTTATAATTATTAAAATTATCACATGAAGGCAGCCTGACTGTCTATCTCTAGTCAAAATTCTTTATATCTAATAATTAAATTGGTCTTATTATAGCCCAACAATACAGATCATTTGGCATTAATTAAATATTTGGTCTGTGGATTTATTGTTTATATTTTTAATTTAAGTTATGAAAAGTAACTTATTTAATTTAACTTAATACATTTTGATATATATACAAGTTATAATTAAAAATTTCACTAAGACTAAAATTATAATTTTTCTAAAACAATCAATACAATTCAAAACAATAAATAATATCTATACGTAAATAATGATGACAAATGTATTTTACCTGAAACATTATAACTTGACCTTCATATAAATCTAATGGTCTGCTAACTGCAAATTTGGTTCTTTCATCACCACTAAATAAAAGTGTTTTATTTTTTGATCCACACCAAAGTTGATTTGAAGTTTGTGTCATAGCTGACCACATTGACTCATCAGTTAATACATCCTTTAAATACATTATTTCAATTTACATATATATATATATATATATATTTTTTAAATATTTAATAAAAATTTATAAAATTTCAATCTTCTTTAACACACAACAGAACAGAACAGAACAAATTCATGTTTTATATGTATTATGGCTCTAAAACCACCATTTAATAATTAGACTTATTATACTGAGACAAGGAGATATGTATATCAAAAGGAAAATAAATGCATTTTTTCTTTTCCATATATGTACAGTATAATCTCCAAATAGCGGACACTGTCAGAATCAAGAAGTTTGTCTGCTATTTAGAGGCACATGCCAGCAGCCATATTGTATTGTCATCTACATATAATACATCATCTCGCAAAAAAACATGACGACCAGCTTCCCAGTATTCTTTTAAAAAAGTAACCAGGTTTTTATGGTGAACACTGGAATTAAACAACAGATCCGGTGCCAACCTAAATTTCACTAATCTTTCCCTACCCTCTTGTTGGATTTTTGTCTGAAATTTTTGCAATAAATAATTTTGACATTTCCAGGATGACAACTGGATGCAATAGAATTCCCGAACTTTACCGCGCAAACGGGAAATACCAACAATATTATGCCCCGACAGATCAGTCACATCCAATTCCTTAGAAAATAAGTTAACAATATCATCCCGCAAATCCAACTCGAGCGGAATACTATGATTAAACAACATTAAATTGCTTCTGTATGAAGCATTAACTTGTCTATTGTAGGCAAAGGAGTGTAACTCACCAATGTCGTCCAAAGGTAACTGATGTTGCTGTTCCAGTTTATCTAATACTTTAGAAAAGTCAGTTTCCACTAAGGACAAGGTTGACTGGTTGGCCATTTCCAAATTGGCGAGCCTATCTTCGATATACTTCAACTGTATCATTACTGCATTTAAAGTCATCTCCAAATATTGCCGTAAGGTTAACAATTCTTCTCTATCTGAGTCTGGAGGAGGTTTCCTCTTAAAATAATGTTCTAACTTTGGATATTTTACACCCAGATCACTCAGTGAACAATGATGTTTAGTTCCTTTCCGTTCTTCTTGGGTTTGCTTTAATGCTTCTGGAGGAGTACGTGGAAACATTTCCAAAAAAATAGAACTAATGACACAGAATAACACAATAGAGCAAAAAACATACCAACTTAGGAAGCAAATAAATAAAAGACTCAGTAATTTACAATAAAAAAACTGTTAACAAAATCTCCGACAAAAAGTCACCAGCAGCCAAGGTTATTTAACAGCTCCCCCCACATAATTAAAATATATATACAATATATTGTTTATTTTTTCAGCTGTAAAAATCTCATTTTAATTGAATCTCATTCAAATGTCAAGTTACAAAGATAATTAGCCATCCACTTCAAGGGGTGGGAAATATATTTGGAATTGTTATATTTATAACATCATTTATTGTTATTAATTTGTCCCCATTGTAAGAAATTTAAATTTAAATCAATAAACAATAATAATAATAATAATAATAATAATAATAAGCCCCCCAAAATCCTACCCTAAGTCCGTGTCAACCATCAGACCACGTGGGGGGCGGGCAACGCATAACATTAATATTTATGCGGCAAACAGAGTAAAGGTAACCCAACAATATGGAGAATTTTAATAATGTTGAACGTATAAAGTTGCTGCCTGGGGGTGATCGCCGGGGCATGTTTGGAGCTGACGCTGGACGTGACAGCATGCAAGCCGTCAGTGGCTCTCTGCTGAGCAGGCGGGCGAGAGTCGGGGAACCCAAAATGATTACAGCCGACCAACAGGGAGGAGAGGGAGCAGATGATGCCCTGCAGAGTAGGGCTTTGCCCACAGACACTGCTGGCTCATCAGCAATGACCACGAGTAATATATTAAGTAATGATAGAAGACGGAAGTGGTCAACAGAAGAATTAGAAGAACTTATGTTCTGTTATTTTAAAGCAAGATCAGAAGGACCTGGATTCATAAGCAGATTGGAGACACTTTTTATTAACAGGAACCCTAATAATCCTAAAATCCATAAATTTAACGGAAATACTTTGTCAACTCAAGCTCGCAGAATAATTAAACAGAAAGTAATATCACAAGAACTACTCAACCGTATACAAAAACAGGCAGAGGAAATAGCACCTACAGAACTGATTGAAAATGTGATTGCAGAACCAGAGAACAGTACAACATATACAGTGCACGATAACCAGTATGGTATACAACCCATAACAGATTGTGTAGAAGATATAAACCAACTGACACAAAATATAGTGGTTGATGAGGATCAAGAACCTATAGTTTTGCACTTTCTTCGAATATTGGCTGAAACGAAAGAAATCACATTTGAGGAGCGGTTATTTCTACCTAAAGCCAAAATAAACAGAAGTTTCATAGAAAATCTAAATATTCTCAATAAATATTTACCTAGTTTATTAATTACTAATAATAGCCTGCGTGAAATAAATGATATAATATATGCAGCTGCTAAAACTCTAATAGAAAATAATAACCAAACGCCATACAAGACTACAGAGATTACAAAACAAAAAAGTAGACCAGCTTGGGAAAAAAGAATACAAACTAAGATAGACAATTTTAGGAAAGAACTAGGACAACTAATGGAGATAAAAAGAGGAATTGACACACGTAGAATGAGAAAAATTAGGGACAGTCTTTATATAAAATACAATATCCATAATGAAAATGATCAAAATAATATTATAGAAGTCATCAAACAAAAAATCAGAGCTCTAGCAGGTAGAATTAAAAGATACAAAGAAAAGAATACAAAAAAAGATCAGAATAGGTTATTTAAAGAAAATGAGCACAGGCTGTACAGAGGTTTGGGAGACAATGCAAAAAAAAATATCAAATTACCAAGTAAAGAAAAAGTTGAAGAATTTTGGACGTCTGTACTGTCTATTCCTAAACATTATAATATAGAAGCTAATTGGATTAAAGAGATAGAGGCGGCCTCAGGTGGGATTAATACAGTAGAAGTAGAAGAGATTACAGAACATCAAGTAAAATTTGCTATACAAAAATTATTGAATTGGAAATCACCGGGAATAGACAAAATTCAAAATTATTACATTAAGTATTTGACTAGTGTTCACAAATATTTAGCTGTATTATTTACAAATATAATCTTAGAAATAGAGAAGTTAGAAGATTGGTTTACTACAGGTAAAGTCATACTTATACCCAAAAATGAAAACTCGGAAGATCCGAAAAACTGGAGACCAATAGCGTGCCTACCAAGTATGTATAAATTACTTACTGCTGTATTGGCTGAAGTGCTTTATGACCACTGCCATGAGAACGGCATAATAGCAGAGGAACAGAGAGGGTGTCGCCGCAGAGCCAGGGGTTGTAAAGATCATCTAATGGTCAATAAAGCAATATTGGAGGATGCACACCAGTCTCAAAGAAATTTGAGTATGGCGTGGATAGACTATCAAAAAGCCTACGATAGTGTATCACATGAATGGCTTCTTAAAATTCT